TTTTGCAGACAGCATGTGGCACCCCAGTTACAAGGTGGCCTCAGGCGGCGCCCGACCTCGCCCCCCCCCCTCCTCCAAGGCCGCCACTGTCTCCGATAACAATGACTTAGTTTAATAAGCCTGCGCAACTCAGAAGTTATTTTTAAAAGTGAAATACTTTCCAGTGTTTTCTGTAATTTCACATAACATACATCAACTTTCCTCAACTGATTAGTTTTGGCTTTCGGTCATCAGTTCGGATAACATCGTGGAAACCAAAAGACTATCTTTGTAGCTTAGCGTTTCAAATTCTTACACACTAATTCAGTATTCTGACAATGAGAACAAATCATAGAAAAAAGAAAAAACAACGAGGTAGTAAATTATTTTATTTCTCAAAACAAATGAGCTTCTATTACCTTCTTAACGATAGTAGAATGAAAGAAAATAACAAACTGGACTTTCCAAAAAGTATATCTGAAAAAAAGTACGCTTGAGAAAAACCAACCAAGGATTGTGCCAAAAATTTAATTCAACGATATTTTCAAATAATTGACATTCAATAGCGATTCGAACGAAAGAAAGATTTATTTAGTGTTTGTTCATGCAGATGTCTGAGCCTACATTTTTTTAAGAATTTGTATCGAACGAACAGACTGCAAATGTGTAACAAAGTTCTTTAATAATTAATCAAATTAAGACAATTTTTTTGGCCGGTTCCAAAATAGCCACACCACCACCACCACCACTACTTCTACTATTACTACTACTACTACTACTACTACTACTACTACCACTACCACTACTACTACTACTACTACTACTACTACTACTACTACTACTACTACTACTACTACTACTACTACTACTACAATATTACTATATTACATCATCAACCTGAAACTTAAAAATTCCGTGTTTCACAAACTTTGGAATTTGAAATACTTAGAAGTAACTGGGAGAGCTGCCGTTTTTACGAGTTTTCAACAAATTTTAAACGAAATTGAATTCGTAGGAGACAGAAAAATTATGACGAACTTGCAACTTTTAGGATTGTCAATATCAGGGGGGGAATCCTTAATAATAGATCAAAATATAACCTATAAAGAGTTAAGTGAAGAAATTATTAAATTCAACAAATTTTAAACGAAATTGAATTCGTAGGAGACAGAAAAATTATGACGAACTTGCAACTTTTAGGATTGTCAATATCAGGGGGGGAATCCTTAATAATAGATCAAAATATAACCTATAAAGAGTTAAGTGAAGAAATTATTAAATCAACGGGGGTTTCTCATTATCGGAAGATCTTTATCTGCCATTTTATTTTATTTTGTCACTTCAATGTCCTCATTTTAAATGTTGCAATGGATTTCAAGGTTTATTCGAAATAAAAAAAATTATTTTTACATAACAGTGATTTTCCAATTAGATTGATTGACTGAATGATCGTTTAACAGCGATTCTGCACGGTTAGCGACTATCTTTTGGTCAATGGAATTTTTTCTTTCGCAACTCACGTGTTTGTTAATGATGTTTTTGTTGTCGGTGTTTTTAGTTGTTAAATATGGTCATATTTTTTGCATTCTTTTAGGATGTGTCGGATTGACAGTTTAATATTGCACTCGTAACAGTTTGAAGATGGCTTTTTGTTGAGAATCCAAGAGTGCGTTAAAAAAAGTGGCTACAAAATACAGCTTACTAATTACTACTAGTTAACTATTTATAGTTGATAACTACTCATCTCTACTTCTTTTAGGATTTTGTTTTTTGGTTTTGCTATGTTGGCGTAGGATTGCTGTTGAAAATTGGTATTACTGTCGTTTAAAACTAGCCTCTTTGAACGATTGTTTTTTCTATTTTCAATATAAAATTTTCTTTTGTTTCTGTCAGTGGTTACAAACTTTATTTTACGTTTTGATGACAGTGGTAACATTTTGTAACATTTGTACGTGTACCTGGTTTGTCCCGAGTCCATTCATGTCCTCCTCCACATTGCTGCTGATGCAATTTTTACTTCTACAATTGTTTCGGTGATGCCTTGACCTTAAATGACGCCCTTGCCCTTCTATACTCACTTATACGCGTTATGGTTGCTTTTAATGTTAATTATAATTTTGATATGAGTTTATATCATTTTAATTTTATTTTTAAATAATTTATAAAATTTTAATTAAAACTGTTGAAGTTTTTATTTAAAAAAAGAGAAAATAATATACTAATGCAACTATCAGAAATTGTGATAATATATTATAAGAAAAACATATATTATAAAAAATATTATAAGTAAGTCTTTTATGCGTTTTGCTGGGGCAAAATATAATAAATAAATAAATGCATAAATAAATAAATTAATTAATTAATTAATTATATCAATCAAACAATCCTTTTCCGTTTCCAGTTGGACTTTTTTCTTCATGATAATTATAATTAATATAGCCCTATATATAATTGATTAATTAATTAATTAATTAATTAGAAATTTATTTATAATATTTTTCAACTTTTTTGGCCATTTTTGATAGAAACAATATTTCATTACTCATCCATTCCAAATCATTCCAGCACCTCTTAATCCACCTGAATTTTGTATGCATGCAGGTTTTTTAAAATAGTTTGGCGGTTTAGTTTCGTGATTTCAAATAACATTTACAAAATAATTTTAATAAATTTAATCTAAAAGAAATATACTTAGTTATTTAAACAGTAAATTATTATAACTAATTTTTATAATGATCAAGATTTCGTTGAAAAATCAGCCAAAATTGATTCACTTACGTGTTCGGTAGTTAACTTTGCTTTTTCGCTAATTTTTATAATTATTTATTTAATTTTTATTTTCAAATTGTGCAAAATAATAATGAAAAGTGCTGAAAAAGTACTCTCAATATTCCTCGTCCCGACGTTTATGATTCAGTTGCTCGCTAAAGTATTTACCATCCTCATTTATCGAATAAAAGTTAATTTTGTGGAAAGGTTAAACACTATTTTAAAAACGGTAACAAATGATAAAGATCAAACTAATTCGGCCCCATTTAGTGAAAATAATTACGAACATAAAAAAGATATTAATGAATTAAAAAAGATTATTTTAGAAAGTGAAGATGACATATCAAGCAAGGAAATAAAACTGGAAAAGCAACTTTTACTAAAAAGTTGCAGAAGTGTTCCTAATTTTATTCCTAATTTCGTGGATGACATGGCGAGCAGACAAAGCGAAGAAACAGTTCTGAAGATACAAAAAATTCACCAGAAGGCTTCTTTCAATTACCTCAACAAGGCTCTTGGTATTGATGAAAATGGAAAAGGTGTTTTGCTTGTGTGTGCTTGTGTTTTAAAGTTGAATTATTTAATAAATTTTAAATCACAAATATTACTGCAATAATAAAATGAAATACTATAATAACCCTTTTAATTTGATATTAATTATAACGACAAAAGAACCTAACAGTTTCTTAACATTTTTGGAATGAATATTCTTGTTTCAGTGTTAATAATAGTTACATGTTTAATTATATCTACCTGGTCTGGCTAGGTTAAAAAAAATTAAAATTGAGTACATTATTAACTTAATAACATACTCAATTTTAGTTTTTTAATTATTTGCTATCTATTTACTTTTATTTTACTTATCTTACGTTACTTATATCCTGTCCATATTTTTTTTCTTGTAACTGACTTGTTTTAATTAATTAATTGTTTTGTTGTCTTCATTTTGTTTTGCATTGTAATTGACAGTTCATTTGATTAACTTGATTTTAATTTGATATTTTGATTACAAGATGTTGCAGATAAGAAGAAAGCAGTGGAGTTGTACAAGAAAGGGATTGAGGAGCTACAGAAAGGAGTTAATGTCATTATTCTGGGAGAAGGTTGAGATGATGATGATGTTGCTGCTGTTGATGTTGATGCTGATGATGAGAATGATGATGTTGATGATGAGAATGACGATGTTGATGGTGAGAGCAATATGGTTATGATGAGATAGTGAGATTAATAATGATGTTACAATGATGCTGATCATTACTAATTACCCTCATAATCATCATCATCATCAAGCTCTTGGTCATCTACATCATTAACTTTATCTACATTATTTTTTTTCATCACCATCTTCATTATCATCCTCACCATCTTCATTATCATCATCTTCATTTTCATCATCACCATCATATCTTCAATGTTATTATCTTCATCTTCCACATCATCATCATCATCACTGCAAATTTTTTTAAGGACCAGATTTTGAAAGAGCTCGAGGATTGAGGAGTAAGATGCAGAACAATCTCATCATGGCTCAGGATAGGCTGCAAGTTTTGGGTGTGTGTGGGTGTTTGTGTGTGTGTGTATGCGTGTGTGCACGTGTGTGTATGTGTGTGTGTGTGTGTATGTTCGTATGTATGTGTGTATGTATTAGTGTATACATGCATTAGCATAAGCACACACACATACACATTCATTCGTGTGTGTATGTTCGTATGTATGTGTGTATGTATTAGTGTATACATGCATTAGCATAAGCACACACACATACACACACACACACATACATAAATACATACATACTAATGTACAGAGAAACATATATACATAGATATAAAATAATTGTATAAAATAATTGATCAACCTCCCACCAGCCAACGAGATCAACAGGCAGACACCAACCACGAAAACTTCATCCGCAACAAAAACAACAACAACAAACTTAATCACGCCAACACCATCGTTATCATCACCATCGTCATCGTCACCACGCGAGTTAAACTACAGAAAATCTAATTTCTATACCCCCAGTGGCAAACAAGCTGGCGCAGGTGATGATGATGATGATGGTGATGGTGATGATGAGTACAATGATGATGATGATGATTGTAAATATATTTTAAAATTTTTCAATCAATCAGTCAACCTTCAATCATCCAGTTAATCTACGAATCCACTAAATCAATAGATCGACTTATTCATCACTCAACCAATCAGCCACTCAATCAACCTAGCTGTCATTCGATCAATCAATCATTGAATCATTCGACCAATCAATCGTTGAATCATTCGACCAATCAATCATTGAATCATTCGACCAATCAATCGTTGAATCATTCGACCAATCAATCATTGAATCATTCGACCAATCAATCATTGAATCATTCGACCAATCAATCATTGAATCATTCGACCAATCAATCGTTGAATCATTCGACCAATCAATCATTGAATCATTCGACCAATCAATCATTGAATCATTCGACTAATCAATCATTGAATCATTCGACCAATCAATCAGTGAATCATTCGACCAATTAATTATTGAATCATTCGACCAATCATTCGACCAATCAGGCGATTCTCCGCGAGTCCTACTAAAGAGACCGAAATCTCTAACAAGATTGTCAGCAGCACGAACGGCAGCAACAACGACAACAACAACGACAACAACAGCAGCAACAAATAACTTCATGATGAGGGGTAGAACTTTCAATACGAGAATTGTATGTTTGATGTTGATGAGGATGATGATGAGGAAGACGTTGATGAGGGTGGTGATGATGAATAAGGCGATGGTGTTGATAATGATGACGATGATGAAGGTGGTGATGATGATGATGAAGGTGATGGTGTTGTTAACATGACAATGATAGTGGAGGTAATGATGATGATGAAGGTGGTGATGATGATGAAGGTAGTGATGATGATGATGACGATGATGATGATGTGACGGTGTTGTTATTGGTGAGGATGTTAAATTAACTTTTTTTCATCACCATTCCATCATCATTATAACCACCATCATCATCAACATTGTCAACATCATCATCACATCATCATCACTACCATTGTCATTATGACGATTGCCAAACAGCCAACCACGACAACAACACCATCGCTGACCCACCCAGCGAACAACAACCACCACAACCCCACCCCCAACTTGTCCTCCTTGAAGAACGTGGACAGGCAGCTGCTGAATGTTATTCTCAATGAGATCATCGACTCTGGACCCGCTCTTAAGCTGTCTGATGTCGGTGAGTGGGTGAGCGAGTGAGCCAGTGAGTGAGAGAGTGAGTGAGTGAGTGAGTGAATGAGTGAGTGAATGAGTGAATGAGTGAGTGAGTGAGTGAGAGAGTGAGTGAGTAAGTGAGCGAGCCAGTGAGTGAGAGAGAGTGAGTGAGTGAGTGAGTGAGCCAGTGAGTGAGCCAGTGAGTGAGAGAGTGAGAGAGTGAGTGAGTGAGTGAGTGAGCGAGCCAGTGAGTGAGAGAGAGTGAGTAAGTGAGTGAGCTAGTGAGTGAGCCAGTGAGTGAGCCAGTGAGTGAACCAGTGAGTGAACCAGTGAGTGAGCCAGTGAAAGAGTGAGTGAGTGAGTGAGTGAGTGAGTGAGTGAGTGAGTGAGTGAGTGAGTGAGTGAGTGAGTGAGTGAGTGAGTGAGTTAGTGAGTGAGTTAGTGAGTGAGTTAGTGAGTGAGTTAGTGAGTGAGTTAGTGAAAAGTAATGGGTTGAATGAGTTAATCAATTATAGTGATAAAAATGAGGCATTGAATGAATGAATGAATGAAGAATCCGTGGTTGAATGAATGAATGGATGAGTGGATGAATGGATAAAGAGATGGATGGGCGAACAAATAAATGCACGAACGAATGAATGATTAAATGAACCAGTAAGTGAACAAGGGAATGGATTAAACGATTCAATGTTGGCATTTAATTATTCCAATGACGTCAACATAATCATGAGCATGATTATGTTGATTGATTGACTGAATGAACGAATGAATGAGTGAATGAAGGACGAGTGAATGAATGAATGAGCGGGTGAATGATCGAGTAGGTGAATGATTATGTTATTTGATCATCGCCATCACATCATCATCTGGTCATCATTTCACACAGCTGGTCAAGAAACTTCGAAGCAAGCCCTCCATGAAATTGTCATTCTGCCCTCCTTGAGACCTGAGGTTCGTTCATTCTATTCTTTTATTCATTTTTTCGTTCATTCATATGTTCGCTTGTTCTTTCCTTCATACTTTGTATATTCGTTCATTCATTTGTGCTAAACTGTGTTCGTTCATTCGTTCGTTTGCTTGCTTATTTATTTACTTGCTGTTCTATTCATTGGTTTGTTTGTATTTTTATTCGTTTGTTAATTTGTCCGTTTATTTATTTGTTCGTTTTTAATTTATTCTTTGATTCATTAATTCATTCATTCATTCATTCATTCATTCATTCAATCATCTTTTCCTTCCTCCATTTCCTTCCATCAGCTGTTCACCGGCCTGCGCACTCCAGCTCGTGGTCTCCTGCTGTTTGGACCGCCTGGGAACGGGAAGACGATGCTGGTAGGATTGATGGATGGATGGATGAATGAGTGAAAGAAAGAAAAAATGAATGAACGAACGAAGGAGCGAATGAATAAATGAAGGATCGAATTGATTTAAAAATGAATAGTTGGACTAAGACTAAGATATGCAGCCCATCTTATTGATGCTGATGACTTGCAGGCCAGGGCAGTGGCTCACGAGTCAAAGTGGACCTTCTTCAACATCAGCTCAGCCAGCCTTACCTCGAAATGGGTTTTTATATTTAGATCATGAATAATAAGAATAATAATAATAATAATTTCCCCAGCAGACACATTTCATCATCGCTGATGGTTTTTTTATTACTGTTGTTTATATTATCACCACCATCATTGTTGTTGTCATTCATCATCATCATCGTCGTCATCACATCATTGCCACCACCACCTTTGTTAAGACCCTCGTGATCATCGTACACCACATCATCATCGTCATCGTCATTTCCATAACGATAGTCTGTATAATCATTACCATGATCATCATTGTCGTTATCAGCATAAACATCCTCATTACAACCATCACCTAAACGTCATCATCACCACCATCATCATCAGATGGGCGAGGGTGAAAAGTTGGTGAGAGCTTTATTTGCTGCTGCCAGACATTTGCAACCGTCTGTCATTTTTATTGGTTGGTTGGTTGGTTGGTTGGTTGGTTGGTTGGCTGGTTGGCTGGCTGGCTGGCTGGCTGGCTGGCTGGCTGGCTGGTTGGTTGGTTGGTTGGTTGGTTGGTTGGTTGGCTGGCTGGTTGGTTGGTTGGCTGGTTGGTTGGCTGGCAGTGTGGCTGGCTGGCTGGTTGGTTGGTTGATTGATCGATTGTAATAATTTATTATTTGATGGTTCATTCATTAACCTAATAATTTAGTAATACAGCCAATCAATCATTCGTCTCACCACCATTCAGTCGATCCGTTATTTATTCATTTAATAAGTCAATCGATCAGTCAATCAACTAATTATCCAACTGAGAAAGTATGCGATTCATAACAGATGCAACAAAGAAAATAATATTATTAATGAATGCAAATAGTACTAAATAAGCGAAACAACAAAAACAATATTAATAATAAAATAATAATAATAACATTTATAACAATAAATACGCTTAAGTTATTATTTCGTAATATAATTGTAGATTTTCGCCGGGCGACATTCGAATTCCGCACCACGCGGTCCCGAACCGCGTCCGCATACGAATATCCACCCGAGCCTTCGCTTCGGCGGAGTCTTTCCTGGCCGGGATCCGCCACTCTACAATAGACCCTCTCAGGGTCTGAAAACACGAGCCGGGCGGAAGTTTGTTCGCGCCCTGCTTGTTGACTAGAGACGCCGACCTCGTCAACTATCAACAAGTCTTCTTCAACATCCATTATTTTAGGTAGAATAATTAAGTCGAGCCAAACTTCAAGTGTACACTTCTTTTATTCAATAAAAGAAATAAAATAACAAACAAAATAATACAAATCAAACCTCTGTCCTTATTAAAACAAAACGATAAGTCCAAAATTAATCTATTAATAATACAACTGACAAGCAAGAGACCAAAACCTAAAATTAAGATAACAAACGACCAGCCTCACAATATCTTAACTCGCGGCCTTTTATATGTTTTTACCGCCCTATCTACATAATGCTTTCTATATCATAGAAAATTCTATACTCCTATCTATACTCTCTTCCTATACTCAGAAAAGCGATACAGCACAGCAGCGTCGCTTATATAGCATATCAAATAACAAAATATACATGCATAGAATGACTAGTAAAATATATAGATATGTATAGGCGGCACGCCTCAAAGACGCAATCATTATCATCACAATTTCACAAAATATACAGGCGGCATATTTCAATCGCGCAATCATTATCATCACCATACAGGCGGCATATCTCAATCGCGCAATCATTATCATCCCAATCGTCACAACTTCACATAATAATTATTCTTATTGTTTCTGTTCTTATTATCGTTATTTATTTAAAAGATGAGATAGACTCCTTACTGTGCGAAAGAAAAGAGAACGAACATGAAGCCAGCAGAAGAATTAAAACGCAGTTCATGATTGAGTTTCAAGGGGTCGGTTGAGTGATTGTTTATTTATTTGTTTGTTTATTTGATTGTTTCATTTATAGATTGTTTTTATGATTGGTTGATTAATCGATCGATTGGTTAATTGATTGATTGACTGATTGATTGTTTGATTGATTGATTGATTGATTGATTGATTGACTGATTGATTGTTTGATTGTTTGATTGATTGATTGATTGATTGATTGATTGATTGATTGATTGATTGATTGATTGATTGATTGATTGATTGATTGATTGATTGATTGATTGATTGATTGATTGATTGATTGATTGATTGATTGATTGATCGATTGATCGATCAATTGATTAATTGATTGACTGAATGACTGATTGATTGATGATTATTGTTGTGGTGGGGGTTAAATTGATTGGTTGTTTACTTAGTCGATAAATTGTTGATCGATAATTGATTGAATGATCGATTTATTGATTGGTCGGTTGATTAGTCGGTTAAATGGTTAGGTGATTTGCCAATCTCTCGGTCGTATTAACCAACCAATCAGAACGAATCATTCAACCAATCAGAACGAATCATTCAATCATTCAACCAATCAGAATGAATCATTCAATCATTCAACCAACCAATCAGAATGAATCATTCAATCATTCAACCAACCAATCAGAACGAATCATCGGGTCCATCGCCCGATCGACTTCTCGTCATAGGAGCAACGAATCGACCTTTTGAACTTGACGATGCCGTTCTTCGGTGCGTTGATGTTATTGTTGGGATTATTTTTATTACTCTTGTTGTTGTTGTTATTGTTATTATTTATTGTTGTCGTTATTTTTTGCTATTACAGATCTTACGAGAAATAGTACAACTTATCCAAGAAATTTTACAACATCTCCAAAATGTTTTACAACATTTATAATTAAACATGATTTATTTGTCTTATTAGAAGTATAACAAACTGAGTTCAGTGGTTAACGAATGTTGTCAAATAATTTAAAGATGTTGCAAAACATTTTGAAGATGTTGCAAAACATTTTGGAGATGTTGTAAAATTTCTTGGATGAGTTGTAATATTTTTCTTGAGGCCTGCATTATTCTTGCTGTTGTTGTTTTCGCTTCTTCGCCCCACTCGCCACCATCATTCCACATTCATCGCCATCTAGCTTTGTTGCGGTTATTTCTTCTCGTCATCACCACCATCACCACCACCATCATCACTACCATCACCAGACGATTCCCGAAACGAATATTCGTCCCAATGCCAGACCTCCAAACTCGCTTCCAACTTTTAGAGCGACTCCTGAGGCGACAGAACGAAAGTGGTGGTGGTAGTGGTGGCGGTAGTGGATGGAAAATGAGTCGAGATGATGTTATGCATGTAGCTAAGTAAGCATGATGATGATGACGATGGGGATTATTCAATCATTCGTTTTCTTCAACCATCCATTTGATTAATTTTTGTTTTTATTATTCTTTGAAAATCGACAGACGCAGTATCCCTGCAGCTGTTACTATCAATGTATATATTATATATAAATTATATTATATTATATATAAATTATATTATATATAAATTATATTATATATAAATTATTTTATATATAAACTATATTTTATTATATATAAATTATATTATATATAAATTATATTATATATAAATTATATTATATATATATTATACTATATTATATATAAATTATATTATATATAAATTATATTATATATATTAATTATATTATATTATATATAAATTATATTATATATAAATTATATTATATGATATATATATATATATATCAGTAAATATCGGTAACAAATTTTCATTTAAGCATATTTCATTAAACGCGATGCTTATATTATTGTTATTTAATTTTTTATTAAGATTTTCTATTTTTCTTATTAGTTTTTTATAATTATAATTTAAATTAAAAATTAGAACACCAATATTCATTATATAATTATTTATTAAGCGACGTTTCGAATTTTATAATTCATCTTCAGGCAATTTAATATTAATTCAAATAAAACATAACAATAAACTGTCAGATGACGTAATAAGAGTTGAGCGCGAAAGTAACGTAACGATTAAAGTTAAATAACGTAAGTAGTTAAATTAAGTATAATAAACAATTATTTTGTAATATAACATAATAAAATATATTATATGTGCAATATTATGTTAATAATAATAATAATAAATTAAACATTTCGTGATGAAGGTAAAATAAAATTGGAATAAATTTGTTTGTTCAAATTAGGTTTATAAATATTAATAAATAGGGATTCTAAAATTTGTAGTCTGTTAGAATTAGTGTCTTTCATTAATATTTTAGTATTATCTTCTAATATTTTGCGGGATAATTGCTGGTTGTGGCAGTCATGGTAGTGTTGATTTGGAGCTCCGATGTTCAAATGGCAGGTTAAACGGCGTGTCAGTTTTGTGGTAGTCATTCCAATATAAGAAGATGGACGAAGCCTACAGTCTTCGTGAGGACATAGAAATTGGTAGATGACGTGGGAGTGCTGTGTTGTTGCTAGTTTAACGTTGGGACTATTTTTTATTAGTAGTTGTTGCGACTTAAAATTTTTATAATAAATAAGAAGGTTTATTTTTTCATTAGAATCAACTGGATGGACTCCTTTTTTAAGGAGATATTAAAACTTTATGAACATCGGAGCTCTTATTACGTCATCTGACAGTTTATTGTTATGTTTTATTTGAATTAATATTAAATTGCCTGAAGATGAATTATAAAATTCGAAACGTCGCTTAATAAATAATTATATAATGAATATTGGTGTTCTAATTATTACGTTAAATTATAATTATAAAAAACTAATAAGAAAAATAGAAAATCTTAATAAAAAATTAAATAACAATAATATAAGCATCGCGTTTAATGAAATATGCTTAAATGCAAATTTGTTACCGAAATTTACTGATATTAAAACTTGCGATTTAACAAATAAACATCAGGATATTACTTTATCTTACAGAAGAAATTAAATATCTCGCGAAATTGAAGATAAGCGGAAAACTCGTGATGAGTTACAGCACGATTTGGACCTAGCGTATGAAACATGGAATAATATAATTGATATTGATATTGACCTTAAAAATAAAATAGACAATAGTTTAAATAATATTAACGATCAACATTTTAATACATCAACAAATAAAATAATTGATAAACTATCTCGTTTATATGGCGGTAACTTCAAATTTCCTCGTCCTCAACAAGGTTTTGTCAATTTGTCAGATATAAAATTGACGTATCATCAAGAACGTTTGTTAAACTTAGGACTAAACTGTCATATTTTAAAGAAACCACATAACTTACAAAAACGAGTTGAAATTGAAGTGCTCATCGATCAAATTTTAAAAATGAATAATGATAAGAAAGTCATCATAAATCAATTGCTCATTCCTGACCTTATTTCAGAATCCCATAAAAATAGAGGTAACTATAATAGTAAAATACTCGACAAAGAACTTATAAATGCTGCCAAGCAACTTAAATCAAACAACAATATAACCATTCGAAAAGCCGACAAGTCAGCGTCATATGTTTTGATGAACACACCCGAATATCTCCAGAAATTAAACCAACTTCTTTCCGATTCCACAAAATTTAAAAAGATCTCAAAAAACCCCGTCGATGATATCAAAAAACAGCTCAACACCATAATTAACCGCATCAATAATAATAGTTCAATAAAATTCAATAAACTCATTGGTGATTTCTCTCCCGGTTACATCTATGGTAACGTAAAGACACATAAACCCGACAATCCCTTACGCCCTATAATTAGTCAATGCCCAACTCCCACTTATCACATCGCAAAACAGCTCAACACCATTCTCACACCATATGTACCTGACAATTATTGTGTCAAAAGATCAACTGATGTCATCAAATTGTTGAAAGCAAATCGAGATTCGGGAACGATGGCTTCATATGACGTCGAATCTCTTTTCACAAACGTGCCGGTTGATACTACAATACAATATATACTTGATCGAGTATATCGCGATGATACAACTCCATGTTTGGATATTAGAGAAGAGGATCTAAAACGTTTGTTAGAAATATGTACGAAGCAGTCACCGTTTGTATGCCCCGCTGGACACATGTACTTGCAAACCGATGGCATAGCTATGGGGTCTCCACTGGGAGTCTTGTTCGCAAATTTTTATATGGGAACAATTGAATACAAAATCTTCAAGCGTTATCGTAAACTCGTATATTGTAGATATATCGATGATATATTTGTCATAACCAAATTTGAGAGAGATATAACACAGCTGAATAAATTGTTTCACCTTAACTCATGTTTAAAATTTACTGTGGAAAAAAGTAATGACAATAAATTGACCTATCTTGATATTTTAATTGATCAGTTAACACCCAACACATTTCGCACATCTGTTTACGTCAAACCAACCAACAATGGGATATGCATGATAGGAAATAGCGAGTGTCCAGATCGGTATAAGAATAGTGTGATAATATCGTATGTCAGACGGGCATATTCACACAGCTCTGAACCACTTGAATTTCGTAAAGAACTCGATAAAATAAAACAATTCCTTGTCAACAATAATTTTAACAATTCAACAATAGATAAAATAATGACCAATGAAATTAGAAAAATTCAAAATAATAATATTAAGGTAAATGATAACAATGAAAACGTTCAAAACAACTCAAGTTATAATCACAATGTAACCGACAATGATAACCACGTTTCTATCGATCATAACAGCCATAACAACACAAGCAACACTGATAACAACACAAGAAACAACTCAAACAACAATGACGACAATATAAGCGATAATAACACGAACAATAATGATAGACGTATTATCAATGATCATGATAATGATAACACAAATAACAACGAAAACAATGGTAACCATGTTACTATTGCACAAGTCGTTGTCGATAACCTAATCAACAACGACAACCATGTTATTTCCAATAATCTTGTTAGTAATGTAAACAACTCAAACAACGACGTTGTTGTTGATCATGTCGGTGACAATAATGCAAACTCTATTACCAACTCCAACAACAATAACAGCGACAATAACGATGACCATGTGGATCATGACAATGATAACAACACAATCTATGACAACCTCGTTATCGCAAACTCCATTCATAACAATAACAACAACTCAAACAACAATACCGACAGTACAAAATTAACTTTATTTTATCGTAACTTAATGAGCTCTTCGTATAAAGAAGACGAATATATAATTAAAAAAATCATTAAAAAGGGAGTCCATCCAGTTGATTCTAATGAAAAAATAAACCTTCTTATTTATTATAAAAATTTTAAGTCGCAACAACTACTAATAAAAAATAGTCCCAACGTTAAACTAGCAACAACACAGCACTCCCACGTCATCTACCAATTTCTATGTCCTCACGAAGACTGTAGGCTTCGTCCATCTTCTTATATTGGAATGACTACCACAAAACTGACACGCCGTTTAACCTGCCATTTGAACATCGGAGCTCCAAATCAACACTACCATGACTGCCACAACCAGCAATTATCCCGCAAAATATTAGAAGATAATACTAAAATATTAATGAAAGACACTAATTCTAACAGACTACAAATTTTAGAATCCCTATTTATTAATATTTATAAACCTAATTTGAACAAACAAATTTATTCCAATTTTATTTTACCTTCATCACGAAATGTTTAATTTATTATTATTATTATTAACATAATATTGCACATATAATATATTTTATTATGTTATATTACAAAATAATTGTTTATTATACTTAATTTAACTACTTACGTTATTTAACTTTAATCGTTACGTTACTTTCGCGCTCAACTCTTATTACGTCATCTGACAGTTTATTGTTATGTTTTATTTGAATTAATATTAAATTGCCTGAAGATGAATTATAAAATTCGAAACGTCGCTTAATAAATAATTATATAATGAATATTGGTGTTCTAATTTTTAATTTAAATTATAATTATAAAAAACTAATAAGAAAAATAGAAAATCTTAATAAAAAATTAAATAACAATAATATAAGCATCGCGTTTTATGAAATATATATATATATATATGTATGTATAATATCGATGGCTGTTACCTCTTTCTACTGTACATTTCTAAATGTTTTACCTTTTTCATTCATTGAGTCTTCCATTTCTTGTTTCATTCATCCAATTGTCCATCCATCTATCATCTTTCTCTCGACCCATCCAGCCTTACAGAAGGGTACTCCTCCAGTGACCTGACCTCATTGGCCAAGGACGCTGCCATGGGACCAATCAGAGGTCTCAGTTGTCTATGACGTGATGCTGCACTCATTTGCATGCTACGATGATGTGGATGGTGTGATCGTGTGGTTGGATGGGGGGAGGCGATCGATTGAATGAATAAATGAATGAATGAAAGAATGAATGAAAGAATGAATGAATTAATGAATATATTATTGACTGGGTAACTAGTTTTCGATCGGAGGGAGGAAGTGATTAATTGTTGTTAAAAATAGTTCGGTCGGCTGATTAATTTGGTGATTTTTTCATCCATTCTCTTCATTTTATATCCATATATTCACACGTTCCATTTATTCATTTGCTTATTCATTTATTCATTCATTCATTCATTCATTTATTCATTCATTCATTAGTTTATATATAGTCCGTACATAAATTCATTCAATTGTTCATTAAAATTTGTTATAACGGTTTACTGAATGAATGAACAAATGAATGAACGAAAGAAAAAAAGAGCGAAAAATGAATGAATGAATAATTGAACGAAATAAATGATGGCATGAAAGAAAAAATGAAATTTAATTCATTTATTTTTCAATATCATCAGAGCTGGATTTGAACAGAGTCAAAAATATGAACGCCAACAATGTGAGTAATTGATGATGATGATGATGATGATGATAGTAGTAGTAATAATAATAGAATGATGAACATGTTAATAATGATGATGGTGTTTGATGATGATAATGATGATGGTGAGAGACTGGATGTAAGGAAATGATGACGATGATGATGATGATGGTGATGATGATGGTGATTTGTTAACCTACAGCATATCGTTTCATTGACATCTTCATATTGATATCATAGCCATTTCTATTGTCATCATCATCATCGTCATCACTGTTACCATTATCATCATCATCGTCATCATCACTGTTACCATTATCATCATCATCATCACTATTACCATCATCGTCGTCGTCACAACCATCGTGATTATCATCACTGGCACAATCAACCACCATCATCAACCATCATCATCATCACCAGCTACGAGACATAGAGGTTCAAGATTTCACGGATTCCTTGAGGAGGATCCGTCCCTCGGTGCCGCCAGAGACCACCCAGCAACTGCAGAGCTGGAACAAGAAGTATGGAGATGTCAGTCTGTGAAGATGGAGATGATGATGAGGAGGAAGATGGATGGAGATGATGAGGAGAGGGAGATGGATGGAGATGATGAGGAGGAGGAGGAAGATGGAGATGGTGATGATGATGATGATAGGAAGGAAAATTATTATAACGGTTATGATGAGGTGGATGGAATAAGAAGTAATGTGATTCGATTATTATGACGATGGTGTTTGTGATGATGATGATGGTGGTGGTGATGGTGGGGGGGTGATGAGGATGATGACAAAAAATTTGATGAAGATGGTGATGATGGGGATGATCATGATATTGATGATGGTTGGGAGAATGACAATTATAATGGAGGTTGGTTCGTGGGGAAGGTGATGATGATGATAGTGGTTGTACTGATAATGATAGTGATTGTATTGTAAATAACACATCAAATTCAATTTTTTGCAATTTGCTATGCATTCACTTGTTTATCTGAACATTCTTATATTATATATATATATATATATATATATATATATATATATATATATATATATATGTGTGTGTGTGTGTGTGTGTGTGTGTGTTTGTTTGTCTGTCTGTGTGTGTTTGTATGTGTGTTGCAGTATTAAAGTGGATTTTAAATGAAGTTGACCACCAACCACCACTACTACAATAACTGTCCATCGTTTGGTCAATGTAATTGTTTGTTGCAATAAAGTGTCTTTCTTGAAGTTATTTTTCAATTTTGTTTTCATTTAGAGTAAAATCAGAATATCAACAAAATTAAAACTGTTAGGGTGTTACGTTTTTCCTGTGCTAACTTACGGCTCTGAGTCCCGGACAATTTCTAAAGAAATGCGAAAAAATGATTATCGCCGCTGAGATGTGGTTTTTGAGAAGAATTATGAAAGTTAGTTAGACCTTTCATACTTCGAATGAAGATGTATTAAAACAGTCCGGTTATGAAAGAGGAAATTACTACGGATAATCCGACGGGGGCAGTTAAAGTTTTTTGGTTACATTAAAGAATGAAAATTCTAACAACTACTGGAAAGATTGCAGGGAAAAGAGATCGCGGTCAACAGCGAATAACATTCGTGAAGTCCTTGTGTCACTTGTTCAATGTCACCACATTTCTACTACTACAAAGTGTTAAAGATCGGGTTTTGTGGAGGTCGATGGTCGCCAATGTCCTGAAAGGATAAGGCACGAGAAAGAACATAGTTATTTTTAGTTTAGGCGCTACTACAAGTATATTTACTTTTTGTGCTTTGTTCAAATAAAAAAATATATATATATGCATATATGTATATTGTATATATGTATATATGTGATTGCTTGACAATTACTTATTCATGTTCATAATTTTGAATTTCCCACCGACCAGAGTTTCATTTTATTCAAGTAACCGGCGGCCAATAAACGAACGTATATTAAATCACGTGATGTTATTGTTGATTCTTTGGTACAAATTGTCGTCGGTTCGTGCACCGTGAAGATGAAATGATTTGAATGAAATTAGTTTTACAATATCAACTTGATTTGATGGCGCTCGCTCTAATTTATTTATTTAAAGGAATGTAAGAATAAGTTTCAATTAAACATTTTATAAAAAATTCAAATATGAATAGAAATTCTTATGATGGATATTATGATGGGCCTATAATTAGAAACATTCGGTTAGTGAGGGATCATCATCATGGTTACGGATTGAGTCTTGTTGGACAACAACCTTGCTATGTGGATTCTGTCGTGCCTGGTGGCGCTGCCGAACGGTCAGGCCTGAGACCAATGGATTGCCTCGTTGCAATTAGTAAGTTTAATTTAATTTTATTAATATGGGTAGGACATGAAATTTTTAGTCAGAAACATGTAAAATTTGTTTTTATTAATAATATAATAATAATAATTATAGGACTATATTCTATCTATAGGTAATCATAAAATTAAATAAATAGCCAAAATTATATTTTTCTGTTTACCTTGCAATAAATTTTGTGAAATATTTAATTTAAATTAGAATAATATTTAATTTAGCACATTTAGAAATAAAATAACATATTTACAATGGAAATGTTTTTTTAAAAGAGGGATTCATATTTTCATGCATGCTATGGCTGTTGTGCATTTATATTTTTTATTATAATATTTATTGGCAAAAGTATATAGGTTAATAACATACGCAATGTGTCAGGTCCAGAGTTAAACTTGGTGAAAGGAAAATACCATAAAAGCAGAAACGTACATTTCAGGAAAGAGTAGAATGAGGTATAAGATTGTAAAGTAGAATATAATGTTTCATAACATGTTGTTGTTGTTGCCCTGTTTCAACACTGGCTCATCGGTCCAGGCAAGATCTAAGCCACTTTGCAACCAGGTTACTCCAGAGTTCTACTATACTAAGTGATGTAGGAGAATAGATGAGGTACATTGACCTGATAAGCTTGGCAGAGGGGAAGAATGTTGTTGATGCCATCATCAATTCATGATTTGTAGCTATTAAGGAGAATGCTATGGCTGGAGCAGAGTTGGGCTAGCGTCCGCCTGGTTGCGCTGGGTAGTGTTGATTCTGTTCTGTCTATTGATGGTGTGGATGGAGGCCCTCCATTGAGCAACCCTGATGCATGGTACGATTCAATTGCGGCTTGTAAAGCATTTTTATGAAGTTTGTTTAATGATGTTTTTATCGTTTGGTGCTGCTTTTATCGTTTTGTGACTGAATAATGTCAGTATGACCGGTTGAGTTTGAGAACCTGGTGAAAATAGTATCTTCACGCTGCAGAGTTGGCAATTTGATACTGTAATGGCGAGGCAAACATTTTGAGGGCTGTGGCATTGTAGTAGGAATTGAGCAGGTAGTAGTTCGGTATGTTGTTTAATCGACAGCTACTTGCACTCTGATAGTAGATTTTCTTCTGATACTGCTTTGTGACATCCTGTGACTACTGCAAGGCTGCATTTTGAGTTTGTTGTAGGCAGATGATGTTTGAAATTGAAGTCAGGGGTAACCAAGCTGGACACTATGGAGCAGCCAATTGCTTTTTAAACTTGTAATAGTGTGACTTTATCCTGCCCAAAAGTAGTTCCATTGATGGCTTTGATGCCGACAGTCTGTGGTGATTGGAAAAGGTCAACTTTGTATCAAAAGTGAGCCCTAGCAATTTTGGCTGATGTTCAAGAGGAAGCAGCTGATTGTTGATCTTTACTGTGGAGGGTATTGTGCTGTGTGTGGAGGTCTTTTACTTTTAGCCATTTATACAATTCTTATCTGACCTCACCATATACCTTATCTTTCCATCAGTATGCTAATGATATAGTATCTGAAATCACCAAAATTGGAGATAAATTGTGAAACATTTTTATATTGTGAATTATTTCAATCAAATTTTGAAATTAATTTACTTTTTACGTTGCAAATGTCATGTTTTGCTTAAAACACCATTTAAAATTTTAAATGTTTTAAAATTAAGTTTGTGCCAACCTTATTGTCTCAATTTTAATTGATTACATTTTACCACTTAAAGATGGAAGAGATGTACGTAGATGGATGCACGAAGACATCATCAAAGAGATTGGAACTGCTTCTGGTGTGTTGATGTTGAAAATTGTGGAAAATGATGATAATTTTCCCGATGAAAATGATGCTTGTGATGAACGTTTTCAAGAAAGATTTCGTGAAAGGTTTTTGTTTTTATCAATCAGTCTTAGTTTTAGTTTTAAAGTTTTACTTAGACAAGCATGTCTTTTCAGAGAGAGAAACTTATGTTGATAAATGGTTAAATTTATTGAATGTAACATCACTAGTTAGATGTGTAATGTATTGGAATGATGAGATGCAGAGAATGCAGTGAAGGGATTGGAAAGAAAAGTGTCAGTAAATAAATAACATGAGAATAACATTTAAATATTTGATTAGATACTCTTACAATAGAATAATTACAATAGAATAACAATTAAATATTTGATTAGATACTCTGTTTTTCTCCATTGTCCAATCAAGATTGAACAAACTTCGTTAAATTAATTGAATTTTGAATTTATGAATAAATTAAAAAATTTATATTTATATGCAAATAAAATTTCATATAATGACGACACAATATAATTTAAAGCTAGGTGAAAAATATTCAACTCAAAATATTTTGATTCCTAGAGAAATTTTTCAATTTGCATTATAATTTTACTTAAATATCACTATTAAATGAAAAATACTTTTAAAAAACACTTAATAGTTAGTGAATAAAATACTAATATTAGTATTTTTTAATAAAATTACTTTAAATTTTTATTTCAATATATACTGAAGAAAGTTATGTGATTTTATTCACATTATTATCATTTATTTTCAGTATTTAAGACAATTGCATATTGCTACACATATTTATCATTAAAAAAACCATCTTAAAAAAATATTTTCAGAATAAAAAATTAAAAAAATTTTTAATTCATAACACTTTTCGGAGTTGAAGTCAGATTATTATTATTATTATTATTATTATTATTATTATTATTATTATTATTATTAGTCAAGAGCACCTGTGCTTTGCTTTGGGGACTATTGGATGTCTCTTGGATGGTAACATTGCTGAAAGCCTGTTCAATTTAAGCCTTTTTTTGAAGAGTATGATAGAGTAGTTGTTGACAAATGTTAGCTGGGTGCAATTTCATATGGAAGAACTCTAAGTGAAGCTTCTGTTGTCAATCGATGATTGGTTGATGCAGCTGAACAGATGATGAAGAACGAAGATGATGAGTGAAAGAATGAGGATAATGATGAAGAAAAGTTTGAGTTGTATGTTTTATTTTGTAGGTGAGTAGAGCTAGTTTATAGACAGTTCATTGGCGAATTGGTAGCCAATGTAGTTGAATAAGTGAAGTCTTGCTAGTAGAAAGGTTATTTACATTTAGGACCACTTTTGCGAGTCAGTTCTGGACATTGAAGAGAAGCTAAAATGTAAGAAGATGGTAAACCAGACAAAAATGCAATAGACAGACATTTTAATATGTGAAGCAACATCACTTTGTGTTTTGAATGTGTGTGTGCACATAAAGTTAAATTAAAGCTTCTTTAATAACATAAAATGAAAGAATCTAATAAACTAGGTAAAGTAAAAAAAAAGTATTTTTTAAACCATGCTTATATAATATAATAAATATATATCAATCATTCTCAGTCAATTTGAACATTTTTTAAAAAAGTTCACACTCGGCCATCTCTGAATTTTTTTAATTTTAACAGTAGTACCTCAATGTAGCCAGAGCATTATAATGAAATATTTTATACACATTTACAAAAGAGTGCAATAAAAAACAAATAAAAATTATTGTTCAAAGTTAAAATATATTTTGCACAAAAAAATTAAATTATTATCATGTCACCATTTATGAAAATTGATTGTATTGCCAATAGAAATGGCAGTTTATTCAAAAATGGATTTGAGATATTTTCAACATTCTATAAAAAGATACTTTTTGGAAACCTTCTATAACAACGACAGAATTTTTCTTTCCAGGGCAATGTTTGAAGAATCTTAAAGACAATTTTTTATTTTTCCAAGGCTCAGGATATTGCTTAAGTGCTATTGGAGCCTATTTTCATTGTTATTACACTTAATAAGTTGCAAAAATAATTTTAAGATAAAAAAATATAAAAATTTACTATTGAAAAAATGTTTTGCCTGTTTTTTTTTCATTTTTTTAAAGAAAGAAACTCATTTTTGTTTTTTGATATGTTGTTAACTATAAAAGCACTATAGAAAAAATTTTTTTTAAAATTTTAAACGTGGTTCTTCGTGGCTGAAAATCGTGCCAAACAAAATGAGTTTTTCAATTTTTTACCATTTTGAGGACAATATGCAAATAAAAATATGGATAAATAACACAGATAGTACGTTAATCAATCAAACAAAAATATTCTGGAATAAATAAATAAATAATATACAGAAAATATGCTCGATCAAAAAACATAAGTATTTCTAAAACAAAATGAAAATAAAATAAAGATATCATTAATATAAAATAAAATACTAAATAATGCCACATAACACAATTCAGACTCACGCAGTGTACACACCCACACCCATTATACACACATGCACTCACACACTCCAACAATTGAAAGCACACATACATTTACAGCAATAAATACAAGAAAGTGGAATAACTTTTAGAAATCATCGTAACTAATAATAATCCATCCACCAACAGAGTTGATGATAGATATAAAAGTATCTCACTTACTTAACAAAACGTAAAGTAGAGAATAATTAATATACTGTACATACCACAACTGTACATACTGTACATAATTAAATAAACAAAATTATTTGACCTCATATCATTCATACACATCTGTACACATTTACATTCGATCTAACTCATTAAATAGCAATTCAATAGCAATAGAGAATGATCGATATAAGCATGGTTTAAAAAAAACTTTATATTAACTTGTTTTTTAGATTCTTTTATTTTATGTTTTAAAGAAGCTTAAATTTTTCTCAAGAACTTAAAATGCTTTCTATTGCTTTTTTAAATATAATTAGTGGTATTTTATTTTTATTATTATTAGTTAATCAATATATTACATATTAATACATTAAAGTATTTTATTATGGAAAATAACTATGTAAAATTAGATTATGTTTATTAGGGTTTGATATAATAGGATTTGATTAATTGTTAATTATTATACAAATTCACCAAGGTGCATTGTAACATCAACACCAAAGTACTCAACCTATCTGTACAAGGAAGATTGTTCATCTAGTGATGGCGATGACGATGAAGGTGATGACTTCTACTCCCACAAACCTTTTTACAGTTCAGGAATTAATAAGATCAACTTAAATGTAGATATGCATAGAGATGGAAAATATTGCCACACCAGTAAAAATGATGATTTTCATTGCAAAGCAAATTTTAATAGCATCCCTAAACGAGAAGTTCACAAAACTGTAAGCTCAAAACTGCCCATGGACAAATATACTTCTACATCTTACAAGGGAACACCAGATGTTCTAAATGAAAAGTTCACCATAAAAAACGAACCAGACAGAAAAACTGACAAGTTTTTTAAAAACAAGTTTGAAAGAATTGAAAATTCAAATATAATTTCTAACCAATCACAATCTACAAGAGCCTTTCTGCCAAAATCCCATGTATCAAGTTTTTCTATCAAAGGACTTAGAAAATTTTCCATAGAAAAAGAAAACGAGCACTTAATGAGAAAAAGAGATAAAATTGATATTAACGGGGGTGGTGATGCCTCTAAAGTTCACATCGAAGATTGTTTTGCTAATGAAAACTATGTTCTGTCTTATATAAAAAATCATTTCTCGTCAACAAATTATGGTAATGTTGATGCTTCTAATTACAAAGTTCTCGATGATGATGATGATCCTCTTCAGTTTGTGGTCTTTTACGTTGGTTCTATTGACTTACCCATTTTTAAATCATCATATAGTGATTGTGCTACAGTTGCCATAAAACATTTAAAGTCTAGTAAAAAAAAAGAGTTAGTAGTTCTATCAATTAGTAAGAAACTAAAAAAGATTTTCCTTATTAATATGCATAATAATATAATAGCTGAATTTAAAGCAGAAGCTATTAAGGATTGTTTTTACCCTAATGTTAATGGTGACAAAAGATCTTTTGTTTTGATCTTATCGCATTCATCGGAGCAAGTGGGACAAATAAAGGTCAACCAACCATTTGCATGTTGTCATGTTTTCAAAATCGACCTACTACTTGTATCCCATTCTAAGCACCAAAACATTGCAAACATCTTGAAAATTCGATGCAAGCAAGACAATGAAAGTGAAACTAACTGCTCTCAATTTCCAAGCGATGGCAGCATACCTGCCAAACATGTAAAGCATGTTTTGGCCATTGAAAAAAATTTAAATAATTTGAATGTACTTGCAAGCCTAGAAAATTCTTCATCGAATTCTTCTGACCTCAGTAAAACGAAATCGTTAGAGTTTAAAAAAACTAATTCTTATAACAATAATTTACCTCCAAAAATACATACAACAACATTTATGAATCCTGCGACCCCTAATAAATTCTTTAAGCCTCGGTTTCCAGATCCCGTAGAAAATATCTTAAAGCAAGATCATGTCCAATGCAATAAAAGTGCCTTAAAGGAGGATAGTCTTGAACTGCCTGAAAGAAGATGTCTTACTCCAAATTATGTAACTCGTGTCGTAAATTCAAATAACTCGTGCAATGGTTTTGCCGTAAATACCCCAGCTAATTCTTCCAACAAATTAAATGACACTATTTTTATAGAAAATACAGAAGAAAATACTAGTTTATTACATAATCGATCAATTTGTTTATCTCTGGGTACAATTCTTGATGACATGTCAAAAATGGAAAAGAAAAAAAGTGGAACTGAGGTTGTAGTGAGTTCAACTGATCAAAACAATTTTTCAAAAAGTGCAATGGTTGATAATTACCATCAAAGATTATCATATTCATCTGGAGCAATTGATGAAATTAATCAGACTAAGTCGAGTCGTGTTGAATATTGGGCTCGGAGTTTCGATTTTCTTCTTGAAGATCATATAGGCGTTAAAATATTTTTTGAATTTTTAAAAAAAGAACTCTGCTCAGAAAATCTGATTTTTTGGTTGAAATGTAATGATTACAAAAAGAATTGTTTAAACACAAATGGAATGAATGATTCCGAACAAAAAGAAGTTCTGATGCAATCTGCACGACGAATTTACAATGAACATTTATGCGAGCATTCAGAAGAGCAAATTAATGTTGATTACAGTGTTAAGCGAAATGTTGAAGACCGTCTGAACCAGTCTTCTATATGTGCTGATATATTTGATGATGCACAAAAACATGTTAGTAGCATTGTTAACTGAAGTTTATTGATAGTATTTAGTAACATTTTTTTAATTCTATTTGTTTATTTTTTACATTTTAAATGTTTTTTAAAGCTTAACTAAAGTTTCGTCAAGTTATACATAGATTTTTTTATCTAACATAAAAACAATTTTTAAATATTAAAGCGATCTTTTTAATAAAATATTGGTTCAACTGTTTGGACAAATTTACTTTATAATTGCAGATATATATGTTGATGAAGCAAGATAAGTATGGAAGATTCAAATTATCAGAAATCTACACCAAATGTCAAGAGAATGAGAAACTTGGCAGACCTTTATACTTTTCAATATTAAATGATGACAATACAGAATGTGAACAAACAGTTGCCAAGAAATGTAAAAAGAAGACGCTCAGAAGTGGCTTGATGTTTCGTAAATTGAAATCAGACGTTAAGAAAAAAGAAAATGAAAAAAATATGGCGGGGTTTTTTAATTTTATTCGTCGGGCATCTGTTGACAAATCACAAGCATTGTCACAATACAGCGACATCAACAATATCAGAAAACAATCTGCATCGTTAAACAAACTCCCCAGACATTCATTGGATACAGAAACAATGTTCAGTTATTTGCAAACAAATTTAGCTTCTACAAATGTTGAAAAGCCTGAGAAAAGAGCAGAGAATGTTATGCAGCAAAAGGATTGTCCTGCTGATGTTATAGAAATGATTTCAAGAATTCAAAGCAGGACATTAGAGAATCAGAGGGGAAACTTTTCAAAACAGGATCTAAAATTACCTGAGTTTCTCAAAGACTTTTCGACAAATGAATTGAGCAAAAAAGAAAACTTAGAATGTAATTTAAAATCAGATGCATTCGTAAGTTAAATTGTTTTTATTATTTTCTTCTGATAAACAGTTTTCTAAAGTCATGTTATAATAGTTCCATTTTTAACTATATATATATAATTTTTATACGTCTTGAACTAGATATGTTCACAAGATTGAAGTTTTTTTAATTGTTCCCGTTTTTTATTATGATGAGCCAAATATATGAGATGTCTAATTTTTTAAATGTAGACGTTTAACCATTATATACAATGTGATCGTTTTTCCAAACATCAAATGAATTTTTTAAGAAACCTGTGTGAACTGGTTTTGTCTTATTATTCTCACTTTTTTTAATTTATTATGAAATATTTTCATGTTAAATTTGCATTAAATTTTTAGTCTTCAATTGAACTAAAATATTCACTAAGCTTAGTTTCTTGAGGCAAATTTTTTCACAAAATTCGTCAAAGTGAGCTGAAAATAGTGTCCCATAAGTTTTTGTTAATCCATTACTGGCATACAGCGTTAACTTTTACTTTTAAATTTCAGAGTAAGAAGTATTTGACCGGAATTGAACGTGAGAAAGTAGATCAACGTCATCCTGACATCGCACCAAGTTCGAATCATTTGAATGAGAATCGCAAATATAGAATGAACCTAATAGATGAGAAAAATGATTTCCTGGAAGACAATAAATGGGATGAATGGTTAGAGGATGTTGACAGGTTTGTTGTAGAATCAGATGCTATATTGCCGACGAACGAAGAGGCGGAATTCTTTTTCTTAGGTGGTGCATCTCCCCCTCCCCTAACGATCATTGAAAAGGGTTGTAATTTTAATTGAAATATAAACGTCCATGAATTGCTTATGAATTTTGTTCTTAGATTAATAAAATTGACCAAATTTTACCAAAAGCCTAGCTAAGATTTATATTTTTTAAAGTTTTGTAAATATTCTATTGTAAAACAGATGCCTTTTTTAACTAATTATTTGTAATAAAAAAATTAAAAAACTTAATAATTTTTTCAAAATTTTTGAATAATTCCTCATCATCAATGTCTCACAATACTATGATAAGTTTGATTTGGAAGCGCCAGTCGACCTCGTCCGTACATTTATTTATATATATGTGTGTTTGTGTATGTGTGTGTCCGTTTATGTAGGTTCTGAGTGGTTTAAATAATCTTAAAATAGAGCAACACGATAAAAGCAACCAGACCAGAGTCTCGGAGTCGGATTAAGAATATCCCTCAAAAAGCCCCTCAAAAAAATCCGACTCCCGGAAAAAATTTTAGTTTTTGCATCATAATTTTACCTTTTTATCACTAATAAATGAAAAATAATTTAGAAACACTTGAAATCAGTCAATGTAATTGTTTTTAAGTAATATTACTGTGTTTTTTTATGTTGAAACATACTGAAAAAAAATTTCAAATTTTGGATAATAGTTTCACCATTTCATCACTACTGAGAAGAAAATTCTTTAAAAACACTTAAAATCAGTCAAGGTAATTATTTTTTAGTAAAATTACTTTATGTTTTATAACGTACTGAGAAAAAATTATGTGATTTTATTCGCATTATTAACATTTATTTTCGGTATTAAAGATGATTACTCATCACTGTATATTATCACAGCATATATTTATCTAAAAAAAATCTTAAAAAAATTTCAGAAAAAAAAAATTTGTTGTTCAATATATAACATTTTCTGAAGTCGGATAAAAAATCGGACTCCATGCCCTCAAATAATTCCGACTCCGGCCAAAATCTCTGACTACGACACTCTGAACTGTACTACTGGAAATAATATATTATAAAAACTTGTCTATGTCATATAACACGGATTAAATAATATTAAAAAATAGTCATGAAGAACGTCAGTACACGGTAATGACAAATTACCCCTTAGAACTTACTATGTTAATAACAGAACTTCTTGCCTTATCTTTAAAAATAATTGTAATTAGAAAAAAAGTCAATAATAAAAAGTAGCTACCTGATATATTCCTTTAAATGTTCTATCGATGAGTGCGGGCACCGAAATTCAGAATATATCAGGCACACTACTATATTGGCTCGAAAAATAACTGCATTCACTCAGGTGCAATAGGAAATCATTTAATCGATGATTAGCAATTACTAGAGAGGTGCTCAACAATAACACGGATATTGTATCGCAACAGGAAACCATTTCAACTTCAAATTGGTACACACCATTGGTACGTTTATTGATATAAAAAAAAAGCATTTGACACTATCGATCATGAGTTGTTGTTAACGAAGATGTCGCATTATGGAATTAGGGGACCTTTGTTATAATGGTGTCAGATTACCTTGCAAATCGATCTCAATATGTTGTTATATGTAAACATCATTCTTCCTTGTTGTCTATTGTCTCTGGAATGCCTCAGGGTTCTGTACTTGGTCCTGTTTTTTTTAATAGGTATATTTATCAATGATCTATGCAGATCGACTAAGGCTGTTAAATATATTATGTATGCCGATAACACTACCATTTTGGCGGCTGGCGATTCCATAGGTGAAGTTGAATGTATTCTTAACTCAGAGCTCGCAAGGGTTCACTTGTGGATCATAAATAATAAACTGCAAATTAATTTATCAAAAACTTATGTGATTCTTTTTGGTCCTAAAATTGTCACCAATTTGCTAACATTCTCTATTTTCTACAGTAACAATTTGGTAGGTCGATTGGACAAATTAGTCTTTTTAGGTGTTACAATCTCAAGCAATCTAAGTTGCATATCAAACAAAGTATCTAAAAATCTAGGGATAATTTATAGACTAAAATATCTCTTACCGAAATGTGTATACTTAATTTATATTATTCTTTTATTTATCCTTTTTTCACTTATTGTATTGTAGTTTGGGGTCGTTACATTAAGTCTCATATTATTACCTTAGAAAAATGTTTATTTTTCTTTATTCGCATTTATTATGATCTGAAAAAATATGATCATATTTCAGATTATTTATCGTTGTCTAATTTGTTGTCTATTCCTAAACTGTAGCCTACATACTCAGATTATTATTATTCTTGTTTAATGTTATAGTTAAGAAGAAATTTGTTATGTTTAATTCATATTTAATTAAATCTTCTTAATATTGTAAAAGAACAACTCGACACACTCCATTATTATACAATTGTATTGTCCCTCGTACTGTTTTATTTTCATGTTCAGTTTTTCTTTCAAAACTGTGGTTAAAACTACCGTGTTTAGTTTTACAAGTATCTAATTATGGACAATTTAAAAAATCGATTTTTGACTTAATTATGAAGAACTTTTTATAACAGGATATGATTTAATTAGTTCAATTATTTAAGTTATTTTAGAAAAACTTCTAATATGAATTCAATTGTTTTTGTTTTGATGATCATTTTTGTTCTAAGTTATTTCTGCTCATTTTTGGTTTAATTTAACTTGTTTTCATTTCATTTATGTTATTATTTTCATGTAGGTAAATGTTTTTATTTGGTTTGGGTGGCCATACAACCTCGTTTGAGCTTCTGTGTCTTCATGCTTTCTGCTGAATAAAATTGAATATGCAGTGACCGGCATTGAATATATCTAAAAGATCCCCGCTTTTGATGCGACGTTTAGCATGTATTCAAGTACAGTGTTAGTGTGTTTTTGATTCCTCAGAACCTAGGATGAGTATAATCGTTTTTTAATTATATATATATATATATGTGTATATATATATATATATATATATATATATATGTGTTGGTAATAGACC